TCTCTCTCTCTCTCTCTCTCTCTCTCTCTCTCTCTCTCTCTCTCTCTCTCTCTCTCTTCTTTTCCTTTGATCCAAGCACATCCAAAAGGATGCAGCCTTCTGGATCCCACTAAAAAGACTCCTATCCTCCAAATACCACAGATGCGCTCTTACACTCAGGGTGTTTTTAATACCATGTAGAAGATGGTACTGGAGCTGTGGGTCAACCTCATCTCTAACCAGGCCCCAGTTTAAGGGGAACGGCATGCCTTTACCCTGGCCAGCCCTTGCTCCAGCCAAACCCTTCTCAACAATTGTTTCTCTTTGCTTATTGAGCAGCAAAGTCTCTTAACAGTGATTTATTCTATTTAAAATTCTATTGACATGCTAATTATTTTAACTAATAGCTAAAGTATTAAGAAGATGCTCAACTAAGTACTCAGACTATTCAGATTTATAATTCAGATTGTAGGCTGTTAATAGAATTATGTAGAAATATGGTGCTTCCAGTGATGGTGATATATCTCTAAATTTGAGCAAATTCAAAGATTTTGAAAGTAGTTCAGGGATGAACATCAAACCTGCTCAATTCAGACAAAGGACATTTGCCAAAGGAAGCAAATAAAATCATCTCATATTAGTAGATTCACATATTTAAGCTCCCTACCTGTCTTGTGTTTAATAGGGCTCACTTATCTTTATCTAGTTTTACTGGATTAACAACACAAGTCAGTCTATGCTGAATATATAGATAAAGCTTTCAGTTCTTGAAGGGTGGGCACAGTGTCTTATTCATTTCCACTCCAGAAAGTTACTGCATAAATGATATTTAACCAAAAGCATATTGGACAGCTCAATAAATGATTTGAGAACTAAACCTGTGACAGGCAACATGGATGGAACTCTCACAAGGTCCCACCTCTACATGAAGAGCGACAGGAATCCAGTGGCTGTTGAGAGGGGGACTCAGTATTCTTCAGGGCCTCAGCTTAGGTGAGTTATCTAATCCCCAGCAGCCAGCCCCAAACATATACACACGAATTGGATAGGAGATGGGGGGGGGCATAGGAGGAGGGAGAGGAGGAAGAGGGAAGGGTGGAAATTATCTAAATGCGGTACTGATGACCCAAACTCTCCAAATGTTGCTTTTCATCTTAATGTTTTGGAAAAAGGGAAAGAAATAAACCTGAAGGGCGACCTTTGTGAGAGGACATTTACATCAGCGCTTCTGAGATTTCAGCATGCATACAGATGGCTGGGGGATCCTGCCAAACGCTGCCTCTAATCAGCGGGTCTGAGGAAGAACTAGAGAATCATTTCAGGTAATCCTCAGGTGATACTGCTCTTGGCTGCTGACCTCTGCAAGGACCAGAGCCCCTGAAACCTCCTTTCTATGGAGAAGCTAATGACATACAATGCTACCAGAGGCTATCCCCAGATTCTGTCACACAGAGTGACCACATCTCCTACTTCTTGGATTAACAACCAGCAGAAATAACTCAAAAAAAAAAGTGAAAATAAGTTATTCCCTCAGGTGCAAAGCTAGTTTTTTAAAATAACTGAGTGATTGCCATGTTTGTTAGCAGCATCCTCAAAGAAGTGATATTTGGAATAAGGCACTCAGAAAGCAGCAGGGATGAGGAGATTAGCTTCTTGCCTTTATGTCTCACTGGATTCCTTTAAAGCAAAGCCTTCATTTGGGACAGATGCTTCTCAGTTCCCAAGGGGCCCTTACCTCTGCACTCCGTCCTGGTGAGTGTGCTCTGGTAGCCAGCCCGGCAGTGACACGTGTATGAGCCCTGGTTGTTGATGCATTCTCCACCAGTACATGGGTTTTTCTCACACTCGTCAACATCTGCAAAGCACAGCGTATCGTCATGAAAGTTGTAACAGCTCACAATTCTAAGGCTTTGTAGGTTTATTACACATATAAAACTTTTTCCTTTAAGGTAAGAAAATAGCAGAGCTGGGCATGGGAGTCAGAGGCAGCATTTGGGAGTCAGAGGCAGGTGGATCTCTATGAGTTTGAGGACAGCCTGGCTTACATAGTGAGTTCCAGGTCAGCTGAGGCTGCGCAGTGAGACCCTTTCTCAACAAAGCAAAACTTGGAAAAAGAAAGAAAGGGAATTGCATAATCAAAGTAATTTTTTCCCTTCCCACTACAATATACCATGTCTCTACCCATTGTGAGACTAGCTAGGCAGTTCACCTGCATTCTTTTCTCGAGTCATTTTCATAGAATATGAATATGTTTCTTATTTCTTAAACATTTTTTTTTCTTCTGTGAGTCTGGCCTAAGAAAATCAAACAGACACATGAAAGCACAGGGCTGTTATTCCAGCTACTAGGAGTCTGAGGCAGGAGGACTACAAGTTCAAGGCCTGCCTGTACAACTTAGTAAGACCCTGTCTCAAAAATAAAAAATTAAGAGAAGAGCAACAGGGATGTTGCTGTGTGGTCAGGCACTGGCCTGGCACACGAGACTCTGGGTTCAACTCCAATACTGGAAAAAAAAAAAACAGAAACAAAGAGACTACCATTTCCTTCATGGGTCCTATTTTTTTATTATTATTATTATAAAGAAAGTATGCCTCATGCCTAAGCATCTGTTCTATTAAGAATGTGAGAACAAAACATGAAAAGCTAGATGGCTGTTTAAAGGGGCGTTCTCATGTAGCACCCACCAAGGTGGTCTCGGTAGCCTCAGACCCAAAGTGCTCCAGGCACTTTAAACACTCAGGACCAGGGCCCACTGGTCTACATTGCTGTTTATGGGTGAAAAGGTTCAGCGAGGCTTATTGATCTTCAAGTCTCTTGGGGACAGAGTCAGGCCTGACCCTGAGCCACACACTCCTTCCTTCTCCGGTGTCACTTTGGGTAACCTCCAGAAGAGTGCCCACATGAGAAGGAAACAAAAGGTTTTGAGAAAACAAGAACTAGCAGAACTAAGAAACAAATTTCTTTTAAGACAAAAGAGCACATGCCAACTGGGTTTCATCAGACCCAACAGTCCAATCGTGCTTGTGTTGGACTTCTGAAGGCACTGCCCTCCTGAATGTAGAGATGAAGGGCTGTGAGGCCCTGCTTGCCTCCCGAGTCTGAAACATACTAGAAGGTCAGGAAATCTTCTCTCTGAGGTTCTGAAGATACACCCTACCAAATACTAGCTTTTAAGCCCTGTATTGGAAGCCAAAGATAATAGAGTTCTGCTGTTTGGAGCCACTGTTGAAGGGGATTTGTTACAACAGCAACAGATCACCAGATACACACTGTGGTGGACTGAGTAGGAATGACCTCCACAGGCTCACAGATTTGAATGCTTGGTCATTAGAGTGGGGCTACTTGACAGGGATTTGGAGGTGTAGCCCTGTTGGAGGAAGTGTGTCACTGGGGGTGGGTTTTGGGGTTTCAAATGCTCAAGTCAAGCCCAGTGTCTCTCTGCCTTCAGATCCAGATGTAGAACTCTCCACTCCTCTCCAGCACCATGTCTGCCTCCCCACGCAGCTCCCCTCCATGATGACAATGGACTAACCCTCCGAAATCAAAAGCCAGCCCCCATTGCCTGTTTTCTTTTATAAGCTTTACTGTGGTCACGGTGTCTCTTCACAGCAACAGAACACTGACTACGACACAGACAATTACAAAAGTATCACAGTATCTCTCGGTGTCAATCAAGCGATCAATGGCATACCGATGCACTCCCCGCGGATGTCCAGCTGGAAGCCCTTGTTGCATTCACACCGGTAACTGCCAGGGGTTGGAATGCAGCGCCCGTTTTGACAGAGGTGGCGGAACAATTGACAGTAGTCAGTAACGTTGAAAGGCAGCACCCCTAGAAGAAGCAGCATTGGACTCCATTAAAATTAGTCACACCTATGACATCGGCGCTTAGTCTGCTAATAGTGAACAAGATGCTGAGTCCTAAAGGAAGAGCCACGAAGGGTGAGCCAGTCACTAGAGCACAGTCCCAGTCAGCCTTCAGAGCTGAATGGGGGTTCCTAGCCCCGGCACAGGAAAGGTGCTGTAGCCCAGAGGCTTCTCTGCCAGCCTCTCCCATCCCATCCACCTCCTCATTCTCAAGCCTCCAGTTTGGGGAAATAACTATGCCAGAGAGGTGTTGGCAGGTAACTACTTTGTACACTAAATGACCTAAAGTATAATGTCATGCATCTTCTGCCATTAATTTGCTCTCCGAATCAGATTTCAGTCTTCCCCATACCCTCCCATATTTAATTGAAAATATCCATAACAAAAGGGCATTCATCTCCGGAACATACAAGGCTCCCGTTCTTATTTATAAAATGGGAAAACTTAGAAACATGCAAAAACAATGTAATTTTTTTTACCTAACAACTGGTAAAAATATTTAATGATGGACATGGCACAAACCAGAAATATGACTTGATTAATGCAAGAAAAAAAATAACAAGGTGGCTTTTGAATTCTTACTCGGTGGTTCCCGCGATGGAGATGGATACGGATAGTCTGGTGGTGGCCGAGGGACTGGGATCACAGACCCAGGAGTAAAGCCAGGAGGAACGACGGGCTGAAGTGGAGGGCCAATGGGTGGGGGAGGATATTCTGGTCTCCCAGGAATTACCAGAGGGACAGAGCACAGCTTGTTGAAATCCTCTGGAAGAATACAACATAACACAACACAGTCAGCAGAGCCGTGGCTGTTGGGAGGCCAGAGAAGACGCCCCTTCAAAGAAATCAAAGTGCACTGGCCAATCGGAATAAACACTTCATCATATTTTTAATATCTATGTAATAAGCACATTGAGACAGTAATTCAAAATTTAAACAAAAAAAATGTCTCCAGAGCAGGCACCATGCGTTCCTTTCAAAATCCAGAAAGACATTTACACATTGAAATTCACCAGGAAAAATGTCAGGTGCCACTTTCTCTGCCCAGCCCCAGTGTGGCTGTCACAGGGATCTAAAAAGCACATCGGAAGGCTTGCATCCTAATTAGAGACAAGCACAATGACATAGATGAATGACAATGCTATAATGAAACCCATTACATCGTACATATGTTAATAATTTTAAAACTCATATGTGCATAGAGTAAGGGCTAGCAAGACACACAAGGGGTGAAACGGAAGAGGAAGTTCAAAGTCTGGGCTATATGTTGTCCCCCCCACTTTTGGGGGGGTAAGACTTCGGTTTTTATTTTATTTTATTTTATTTTATTTTATTTTATTTTATTTTATTTTATTTTATTTTATGTGCAAAGGGAATCCAGTTCCATCTCCTGCAGGATGTGATCACATGAATCCTTTCAGATCACTCTTGCTGATTGATATATGAAGTACTAGAGGGAAGAAAGGCTTGTGTGGAAAACCAAGGACAAGATAATAATGGATGCACAGGGGAGGTAGTGATGGAATTGACAGAGGCCACAACCTGTCTCAAGGATAATTTATAAATAAATGGTAGTGTTTGGTGATGGGATAAATGCCAGAGCCACGGGACTAAAAAATCAAGATTGACGACTAGAGTTTTGGTTGCTCAGATAGCTAAATGCTCTTGTCCTTTACTGTGAGAGGGAAGCTGTCAGGAGACAGGGGCTGGTGTGATGGGCAGAAGCCAAACTTCAACTTGACCATTTGAGTTAGGAGATGTCACGCAGCCAAATGGAGATAACACACAACAGTTGTTGAAGAGAATTTGGAGCCCAGAGAAGAAGTTAAATTTTTCATTTATTAGCAGAGAGGTAACATGTAAAGCCACGAGATGGATGAGTTCTTCTAAACAATGTGGAAGGTAGGAAGTCCAGAGCAGAGCCCCGAGGATTGGTCTGTTAAAAACAACTAGATGAACGGAGAAGGGAGGTCACAGTAGTGTGGCTGCGAGAGTGCAGCACAGGATTTTGTACGCTGGGGCTCCCTGACTCCATCATGTCTTTCCCTGGGTTTGCACATTTTGGGGTCGAATCGTATTTTTAACAATGCCAGGAATCTATTAGAATAAATCTGAGTTGGCACATGGCATCTTTTTTCTGAGTTTTTGGAACGGTATTTTAGACAGCATCTAGCTTCAGGTATGTTGGTTTTATCCATTTGCAGCTTCCCCTTCTACAAGCAGACTGGTTGATTTTTAATCTTTGCTTTCTGTCTACAATGTCGAAAACTTTATTATCACAGTCACAGTGATTTTTATATAGATATTTCCTACATAGTGTTAGAGATTAACATAAATTAGGTTAATGTTTTCCTTTACCTGTGGACTACTGAAATGCATTCATAACTCAATCTCATGGGACATCCTGCCAATTTACATTTGGCTAAACACACCAAACTCCATGTATTCTACCATTATTAGCTAGTCCATTTCTGTACATTCTTCAGTCTTACTTCACACCTATAACACAGACCTAGTTTAAGCTTCCAGAGAATTCCATTGCTATGCTCTATTATTAATCTGGAATTCTGACCCACAAATTCTTGGTATCTCACTGTATTTGAAAGAGATTTTTCCTTGTCTGTATTTTTCCTGACTCAGGATGCTACAGTTCCTTTTATTAAACCATAGTGACTCTTCCTACAGAATTATCACCTAGAGCACCACATCACTTGCTCCCAAAGGATGTTTTCACTGCATTTCTATGCAGCTCTTTAAGTCTGGACCATCTATCTATCTATCTATCTATCTATCTATCTATCTATCTATCTATCTATCTATCTATCTATCCATCCATCCATCCATCCATCCATCCATCCATCTATCTATCTATCTATCTATCTATCTATCTATCTATCTATCTATCTACCATAACCAAGTCTTACTCTCAGCATAGCCCCATAAATTACATATAAGAGCATTTCAGTATGTGCTGGATTTAAATGAATCCTGACTATATTAAAGGAAACAGTTTGTTTCCAAACACTTGTAAGCACCAGGTCAGCCTAGTTTTAACGTTCTTTCATGACTTGTAAGAGAGGTTGGATGGCTTATCAGCATTTCTGCTAATTAGGTGACTATATTACTTGAAGAACCATTAAATTCACCTTAGCCCTGTACAAAATGTATCTTACTGGGCCCTACACTCCTTTTTTTCTATAGACTAATGATTTTATCTGTGAGCCCCTTTACATTAAGGATCAGCAACCAGGGATAATTTTTCTCAACCATCTTTACCTTTTCTGTCTCCATTCAACCTAGAGATGAGATGTAATTAAAAAAAAAAAAAAAAAGAGTGAAAGGCCGTCCTTCTCACATCACCGCTTTCCACAGACGAGAGCTCAATAGCACTGTCTTGAAAGGTCTGAACAAACAAAAGCTGACCTGCAAATCCGTTTGCATGATCAGTCTGCTTTGCACTAGGCCTGTGTTAGGCTTTGCCTTTCAGCTCTCTGCAAAGTCACACACAAGAGACCGTGAGTCTTCCTGTGCGAGGTCTTCCTGCTGACTCCTGCCTGCATCTGCTGTCTTCCCTCCTCTACTCCAGGTCTCAACACAAGGAATCCAATCAATGCTATTGATCCCCAAATTGACATATACATTTAAGAAGCAATTCTTCTGGTACCCAAGTCATGCATCTTGGTAGAAAGCCATGTGCTTCTAAATAGTGATCTAGTGAATATGTCTGCAGCAAATTAAGAGGAAGGCTTTTTAGGGCATAGACAGCATGTCCAAAATGCATGACTTGTTAATCATACGTATGTATGTATAGAGACAGGAAGATTATATTACTTCTTTAATCCACACATACAATTCTCAGTAATGAGCAGCATTTTATACTGACATCCGTGAACAACCCTGTCTTCTGTGATGAGAACTGCATGTCCTAAGAGCAGCGCTCTCCAAAGCATTTCATCAACTCTGAGTTCCTCCACCATTTCACTGCTGACTCTCAATTCCCTGATTTAAACATGCCTTTCAGGAATCAAATTAAACAGAGCTAAAAGGTCAGTTTCTAGCTGGAATTTGTGGCGAAAAGCATACTTAATGAGCTGTACCTTCTACCTGAATGTCTCTTACAAGCATGATTTTGCTAAATGCTATGGAAGTACAGAGAGTGTGGGAAATTTAAGATTACAGTAATGACTAAGATCTCCTAGTGAGATTTATTAACTAGTGACAGAGCAATACATGAACACAAGTAGGCACAAAGCAGAGCAGCACAGATCTTGAGCACAGCCAAAGTACCAACCCGAACCAGTGTGTCATGAGGGTAAGGCCACAGTTCCTGCTGTGGTTATCTTGGCATGTTGGGGGATCAGGCCATGTTTGCACAGATCCTTGGCCCTCTAGAGTGTATGTGACCAGCAAGGGTTGTGGGAGAAGGGAGTAGAAGGTAAGGCATGAACTGTGCAGATATTTTAGGAAAAGAATAACCTATTTACTTTAGAAATACTAAGACTGTTTAAGGGAAACATAACGTATAATTTAATTAGAAAATAAAACGCATTATGTTAACAACTAACATAACTGGGTTCTGATTCGGGAACTCTGAATGCTGTGTCAAATCTTAAATATTTCTTTGTAGGAAAAGGTGTCATTTGGACCACCAAATAGTGCCTGTGGTCATCTTAATGAAAATATCCTAGGCATTTTTCTCTACACCCTCTGAGACACCTGTAAGGCTATTGTCAGGTGAGCTATACTTTGGGAATTGTATGCGGCAGGATCTCCCACTGGCCACTTGGGAAACCACCCCAATCATTCAGATTGCAGAACAATACACTTTTAGTGGAAATGAAGGGAATATGGCAGATAAACGAGAAGCTATGAAGAAAAAAACAGGACTTGGCAGAAGGAAGAGAAAAGTGATACTGTTGGGGAAAGAGGAGATGCATGTGGTAAAGGAGTTGGGCTTTATCCCACTGAACTGGTAAGCCCACAGGAGAGCCACCAAGTCCCTCAATGAGAATAAGAGAAAACAGAGGCTTCCTGAGAAGACTGCTCTTCCATGGCAATGAGAAAACTAAGTCGCCAGCAGATATAGAAACAGGCCTTTACCTGTGCATCATCTGGGGGATTCCTGCATGCCCACACTTCATTTTTCTGGAATCTTATTTCTTTACCTGGGTTTCATTTGGATCTGTAGTGCACACTCTGCCATGGCTGAGTTGGGATATGCTATAGATGCTGTAGATGGGCTCTTACCGGTTGATCTGATGGGACACATCTCGGGGGCAACAGCGACTCCTGGAGACCAGCACCGGCCAGCATCACAACAGCACTGCATTTTGGTTATGGACTGTGGCAGCTGGTTAGAGCAGCGTCCATTTGTCAGAGCTGTGTAGCAGTAACCAGGACGAACATCTGAGAGAACCAAAAAAACACACATAGCTTTTGTGACTGAGCTTGAGACAACACTCCTCTGCCTCTATACTTCCATGCTTCCCCCCCCCCCGGGGGGGGGGGGCTATGACAGACTGACCCATGAGCATGTGCTCTGGAAAGGAAGCTTTGAATATCCCACTGGCCCAGTATGCAATCAGAAATGCCTTGTCTTTCCCCTTGCCTCTGACACTGGGCCACTTAGCCAAAATCCCACATTCCACACCCAAGGTGAGAAGAAATGGTTAAAATCAATGTGCCATAGGGGAAAAAAAACTAAGAAAATCACTGGTGGTGACAGACACTTTTCCTAAAGACTTGTTTCTATATTAAAGACAGCCTGGGTTGTCTTTGGCTTAAACTACTTAATTTGAGCTACATTAGGCAAAGATTTATCTAAATGCATTCAAAAACAACGTTAATCTGTGGCATGGGTTTTTAGTTTGAAATTGTGCCTCAGACTTGTGAGATTGTCTTGATGGGATGAGCCAATTTTCAGCCAGATCTAATGCTTATTAATCAGGTTCCCTTTTGTCCTGAGGCCTTAACAATTTTTTTTCAAAAGGTTTATTATTAATAAATTCCAAGACATCAATGATTGCAGATTTCTAGTCCTATAGGATCCAACAGTTCTAGATGAGTTCTTTTCTTTTTGGCAGAAAAGCCTCCTGTGAAAGCTGCGTGGGGAGGCACACTCCTATAGATCGCTTTTATTGGATTACATCATGTCTGATTGTCATGACAACAGCTGACACACTGTAGTACAACTCTCAGCTACCAAAAAGAGCTCACAGCACAGCGAAAACCTTTGAGACGTCCCTGTGAAAAGACGGGGCACATAGCAAAGTGCAGACACCTATCTGTGTCTACACAAGTGGAGGGTGTGTCTCTCCAAGTGAAACACATCTCTGTGCAGCCTTACACACAATCACATTGTGAAAAACAAATAATATCTGAAATATGCTTCTCATTTGACAGATGGCATTTGTAAAGTGAAGACATTTCCGCAGTCAAAACCCCATCCCTAAGTGCCATAAGTCTGAATATTAAGCATCAAGCTTTGCCACAGAGGATTGTCCACATACATTTGTTGTCTTAAGAATACAAAGCCTTTAAATATTGATGGCTTTAGTGGTGAAATACATAAAGATAAACATGCATAATTTAGGAACATTTCCATTATTTAAGCAAAGATGGGAAAGGTAAACCTAAACAAACCATAGAAAAGAACTGAGGGTCAACATCACAGACACAAGGCAATTTCTGAGTAGTACTTATAGCCACCAGTAAGTGTAGATGCAATTCCCAGAAAATGTTGGATCTGGTTCCTGTACGTCTGGGCAGATGTCTCAGCAAGAATGGGTTTTACTACAGCCAGATCCAGGAAGAGTAGCTACAGAGGGTGTGCAGATGAGCCTGTTCTGTGAAGCCCACGGTGGGGCGGGCATCTCTCCATGAAAATGGCGAAGAGATGGAAATCCTTCATTCTAACTTTAAGAGCTTCAATGCTTCTAATGTTTTACATGCTGTGTTAGTAAATGTTTGGGGTATGGAACCCAAAGACTATAAAGAATGGGGAGATTCTCAAGCATGGTTTCTATCCCAGCTTCAAATGGACTTGGTGGTCAAAACCCAGTTGTAAATACTTGACCAAATTGTAAAATGTGTGCATATAACTTGCAGATGGATGGTTCCTCCTTCAGAGCAAAGCTGGGACCCACAGCTGCCCATGGTAAACTCTTAATGGGTTAATGACTATTATTTTGAAAATTAACTGATACCGTGTTGTTACAGATCTGGCTGATGAGTATGCTAAATCAACGAATCAAAGACTCTTGATCAGTGTGGTAAAATGAAGACTGTTGGGGTTGAAATTACAAGCTGTTATTGGGTTACTGACAGTCATTGATTTACAAACGGCATCAGCAGAGGACTTGAGTTTGGTTCCTAGCACCCATATCAGGAAATTCACAACCACCTGTTAACCCCAGCTCTGGGGGACCCAATATCCTCTTTTGGCCTCCACTGGCACTTGTGCTCACAAGTTCATGAAGTCACATACACACACACACACACACACATCATTAAAAATAAAAATAAAATAAATCATTTTTAAAAAATAATATATTAAACTTTTATTTAATTTCTTCCTTCATGTAAGCAAAATACCACATGATGTGTGTGTGTGTGTGTGTGTGTGTGTGTGTGTGTGTGTGTGTGTGTGTGTGTGTGTTTGTACTGCGCTACCCAGAGTATGTATGTATATATGTAGGTACTGACATGGCTGCTGTGTATGTAGAACCACTGGACACAGACTGAAGATCACTAGTTTCCATGTCCTCGTGAAAAATACCTGAGATGTTTGAGAAATAATGTTATTTAACTAAATCACTATTTTAGGAAGGTAAATCTGGCAAAGTAGATTGTGTAGAAGCAAGATCAATTAACTATTATTACAAAACGTCAGACCTAGATTAACATAGATTCTGGGAAGTGACTAAAGGTAGTCATAGCTGTGCCTTAACTCCCAGACTGAGGACATGGGCAACAAATCCACAAACAAGGACACCAGACATTTCTGCTGCTTAACATGGTGTTCCACTGTTGGAATACATCTCCACAAACGCTCATCCTCCCCTGTTCCTGTTAACAAACTTATCCGTAGAGATGCTCATTGTGGATGATGCATAAAAACCATGCCTGCTGTCTGTAATTAAACCCACCTATGCATCTGGTGCCATCAGGAGAGGTGTAGAAACCAGGGGGGCATTTGCAGAAGTAACTGCTGACTGTGTTTGTACATTCCCCGCCATCACAGACTCCAGGAATAGTGCTGCACTCGTCGATATCTGCAATGTAAAAGAGGTTCTGTTATCTGGAGGGTGCGACATGAAATTTCACGGGTACAGGGATGCAAACAGAGTGCTCGTGAAGTCAAGCCCCCAGACACACCTGTCTGCGCCAAATAAAAGCTGCCTAGAGAAGAGCCGATTCAGATGTATGTTCCTGGGGGTTTACCAAATTCAAGAGATGGAGCCAAATAAACCCACTCTCTTCAGAACCTATAGCTGACAGGCCAGCAATGTGTTGCTATTCCAAACCCATTTGTTTTGAAAGCTTGCTCTCTCTTTCAATGCATATGTTGTACTATATTAAACTCCTCTGCAAATTATTCTGTACTCCTTCACATTTTCTGTATTTCTTTTCAGATTACCCACAGGATAGATACTTCAATCCTTCAGAGGAGACCTCATGGCCTGAGCACTGCTTGGGAGTTGGTGCCCTGGGGTGACCAGACTAGAGTTAGGAAATACCAACTTTCTCAGGAGCACATCCAAATGGCTGTGACGATGGTCCTATGTTGGAAGAATGTGTATTTGGTGAGTGAACTCCACTAGACACTGGGCGCTCCAGTCAGCTTCCTCTTCAGGGAAGGACTAACTTCTGCTGTTGGAGATGTGGTCAACAAGCTGTCTTTGACTTTCGGTCCTGTCAGGAATCATTGAGCTGCACAGAGCTGCTTTGCCTGAGGTCACACCCTGCCCAGGTACCCCATATCTAATAGGAAATCATGGAAAATTGGGCAAAAGTCTGGTCATCTTAACCCAATGAGGGACCTCTTTAAAGGCCACACGATGCCACACCGCCCTCTGCGATCAGTTGATACTGCTTCTGGGATGTGCCACAGCTCATCCAATCTGTCTTCTTTTTCTCACACACTCATCTTAAGGACATTCCTTAACAAATATCCTGAGTGCTACAGAGGCCAAAGTGGATCAGCTGCTAAGGCCTGAAGCCACTGGTCTCCTCCAAGGAAACAGTAAGCATCCCCTTTGGGAAAAAAATCTAACTATTTCCTCAAAGAGAGTTTTTCAAAAGCCCAAATCTCTCACTGACATGCATCGGTAGTGGTAAGGGAATGGAGGAGAAGAAATGGAGCATGCACTGTGCTGTCTTAGACAAACTAGAAGGATAGCCACACCTCTCCTTCTATGCATAGAGAAAGGAGAGGCAGGAAGAGCCCCTCGGGGAAACCACTGTAGCCAGCCTGGCACTGCTGACACTCAGGAAGGCTTTGGACCACAAAATGAAAACCCTTCCCTTCCAGTCCATGTATTCCTCTTCATTTAAAAAACAAAACATGGTTCTGGCCGGACCACATTCAAGTACATTCTCATACATTCAAGTCTACTCGCATTCAAGTTGACCCTTACAGTCACAAAATCAGCAGTGACACCATCTCCATGCTGTTTAGCCTCTTGAAAAGCAAAATCACCCTTCTTCCATGCAAGCCTAGAGACTGACGTAATGTTTCACTGAGCACAGAGTCAAAGCTATGGTACCTGGCACCATCACTGTGAATCTGCCATTGGTAAAAGTAAAAGTATTCCAGGAAAGAAGCAGCCAGGCTGGGATGCTGCCATGGCACAGTGTAAGACCCAGCACCATCCCCCAAGACTCTCCTTACAACAGCTCAGTTTTCAGTGTCCTTCTATCTTTCTGCTGCCCCGCTTATTCTGGGCACAGAGAATCAGTGTACTAATGATAATGAGCCTGCAAAACTCCAAACCTCATCTAACAACAGGAAGACATAACTGTGAGGCAAGACATTTGTGGTGGTGTGAATGAGAATGGCCCCAACAGACTTACATATTTGTATGCTTGGTCCCAGTGGGTGGAACTCTTTGGGAAGGATTAGGAGGTGTGGCCTTGTTGGAAGAGGTGTGTCACTGGGGATAGGCTTTGAGGTTTCAAAAGACTTGCGCCATTCCCAGTCTCTCTCCCATTCCCTCTTCCTTGTACTTGTGGATGGAAGCTCTCAGCTACTTCTCTAGCACCATGCCTGCCTGCTTGCTGCCACGCTCCCTCCCCACCAAGATGGTTATGGACTCCAGCCTTCTGGAACTCTGAGTCACAGATGAAACATTTTCTTTTATAAGTGGCCTCAGTCATGGTGTTTTGTCAGGGCAATTACTCAGCATGCCTTTCCAAAGGGTCTTCAAGTGTTAATATCACATACTGCTTAACAAAGATCATGTGATGATCTGTTAAAATACTTTTTCAGTCTATTAACAAGGACAAATGCTAGCATTTTTGTTTAAGCCACTTAGCATAATACATTAGTATCAAAAGAAATTAAGATAACAACCAATAAAAGAAAAAGTTATTTTGGAAACATAACTAACTTTGGCAGGCCGTGGGCATATCTTCCGCCTGCCAACCAGTGAGACTGGCATCATCTGTTAAAAATAGCAACAGCGATGACAATGAGAGTCTCAGTGTGTTGAGAGCCAGGCCACGTTGAAAACTCTAACTCATCTAATCCTCACCCTGTTGGTGTGGTTACGGGACCTGATTTCCATGTGTCTGATGCTCAGGTGTGCCCCCTTGCATGACTGAGGCCTGCAGAAAACTAACAAGAGGTAAACCTTGAAATAGGAAAAGATCCAGGCCTACAGGGGCAGGCCTCTATGCCCAGCTATTTGGGAGTCAGAGGAAGAAGACTCAGGGGTTAAAGACCAGCCTAGGCTACAGAGCAAATTCAAGGCCAGCCTGGGCAACCTGGTAAAATTGTGCCTCAGAAGTATCAGGAAAACAAAAGGTGGTGGTGGAGTGTGTTCCTGACAGGCTTAGGCCAAGGTCAAACCCAAGAGTCAGGGGAAGCAAACAGGCTCCTCATGTATAGTCATGCTAAACCCAAGTCTCCAACTGGCTAGGACTTGAGAAGTCCACCTTTGCTATATGTCCTCAAATGCTGCCAGTCAGGGGCTGTACTCCCGAAGGTGAAACAGGATGAGACAAAACTGTCACACACGAAAGCGTGTAAATACCTTTGAATTCCCTAATGTTCCCTCCCCAGTGATCTGTTCTACTTCTGCCTTTTACACTCACGAACCACTCTGCTTCTCAGTTTCATAGCTACAGAATAATAACGGCTGGAGTTGTGATCTCACCATCATCAGATGATGGAAATGCCTTATGGGAAGGGCTATGTGCAAAGGACTAGAGTCTTGGGCTGGACCTCTTCCTCCTGGTGCATTATCCTCCCAGGCTCTAACAACTCTACACTTACTTTCTTTTACTAAAATTTCAGATCTCCTAAGTAACAGAATCCAACAACAGTGACTTGTTATGGTTTTCATAAATCAGTCTTTATCAAATGCCAGCCACAAACATACAATAGTTTGGGAGGCCTGCTGGGTGCAGCGGAAACTGGCAGGCAAGAGCTACTTCTGCAGTCTGGAGACCTCCCTAAGTCTCTTCAAGGCTGGAGGGGAGAGGCCGGGCTACTGGTGAGAAGTTCCCCAGTGTGGCTGCAGCGGTCACAGTAGCTTCTGGCAGCTCCCTCCTCCCTGCTGGCTGTCAGTCATTTGCCTCAGTTCTCCCTAGGCCTCACCAGCTCTCATCAGGTGTCTCCACCTCCCTATCCTGGGCTCCCTGGGCTCTCTGGGGAAGAAGAGACTCGATGGAGCCTGTCTCAACTCTGAGGAAGATATTTCTGGACACTCACTCAGGTGTTGAGAACTCAGTCCACAAGAGCGGCTTGGCAAGGGAACCAACCACCTGATCCTGGATGTCTCCATTGCTGCTCAAGTGGGGGTGGGGGGCATTCTTTAAAAGAATCAGGCGACACTACAGATTTATGCACCCGTAAACTTCGTTTTGTTGCACACATGCAGCCTATAAGAAACCTTCAATTGACAAGCAGACACTCAATGCTGTTTTAGTCACACCATGATACCATCAATCACGGGATCACAACTGGGAAGGACTAAGTGGAGAGGCAGAGTCTGGACTACAGAACTGGAAAGAGCCTCTATGTATCATCTTGTTCGCAGCGTTGGCATGTGATGTCACTAAGACCGTATAGTGAACTAGGGACTTTACCAGGCCCAGGCCCACCTTACTCTACACCACATCTCCATCAACTGTGCAAGGGGTTAGCTAGCTACACTGAGCAGAAAGGTGAGCACTGTGGCCAGGAATCCCACCTGCAGTGATGGATCAAACAGCCCCAGGGATGCTCATTGGTGCCCAAGAGGACAGGAGGCCCTAAAGCAAGTAGCCATTAGGTAAACATGGCATTACCGCCACAAAGAGGAATCCTAAGCACTTCAACTCACATATCAGGGAGTGCACGGATGTAAGAACCACAAGGTTAAAATTCCTGTGCATCATGCCATGCTCTTAGGACTGCTGGAGGCTGTGCTGATGATAATCTAAATCCCCAAACATTAAAGGTTAGTTATTAATTCATGGGACTCCTTCCAGAAATAAAACTTAATCCCTTAACTACATTTTTTTATTTCTTAATTTCCTTCCACAGTAACCTATGCAAATATGGGCTCGGTTTCCAGAAGGGGGAGGTGCCGCTGCTCCTTCAGTAGGCGAGCCCCACCGCCATCAGAAAAATCAGCAAAAAGGTGCCTGCGAGCTCTGATCCCCTTACTCAGCTCACAGCTGTGAATCTCCATCTTTGACTTCTAAAATGTTTAAAAATCTAATATTAAACAGCTCTGGCTTATTAATTTACATTTTAACTGTTCTAAATTGTACGTGTGTATTAAGCCATAGTCTATAGAGTTTTATTGGGGTTTTAGGAAGACAGAATAAGAAAGGGAGAATTCTGAAGAGGACGCTCTCATGAAAAGCATTTGAATAAAGCCATCCTGCGGTGGAACGGTGGTGGCTGGCATCTTGGGAATTTGCTAACACCCGCTGGACTGAAGCAGCTTTTTTATTTTTAAGGTAATATAAGAACTACACAATTTCTTCATTTCTAAGCCAAGGGAAAACACACTTAAAAAGCCAGCTACAGTGCCAGTGACATGACTCAGTAGGTAAGGGCATCTACTGCCAAGCTTGCCAACCTGAGATTGAACCCTAGGACCGCCACAATGGGAGGGAAGAGCCTACTCCTGCAAGCCCTCCTCAGACCTCCACATGTGTGCCGTGGGTACAGGA